CGAACACAAAAGCCCACTAGCCGAGCTGAACTGGTTAGTGATGGAAGCAATTTCCCACGAACTGGAACAAAAGGATGTACTTGCCCCCTTCCCCAGCCATTACCGCTCATCCACCGCTTTTTATGTTGAAATCCTGTCTTTGTCTTTCCAGGCTGTCTTTTGCGTGCTATTCCTTACGCCCTGAGAAAGAACCTCCACTTGGATTCATTTCAAGTCTCGAGTTCTTGTTTAGAATTCTCGTATATGAAGTTCGAACGAGAGCTTTGATGCAATTTAAATTGACAAGCAGTAGTGACAGCATAATAAATGTTCAGAGGACAGAACAACATCTTGAATTCCCGGGTTTTCTTTGCCAATAGACCAATCAATGGTGCTCTATAGAAAACAAGATTAAGTCACTCCAAGCCCACGGCGAAGCACTCCTAAGGCTTGGTGACCTAGGTTTAGTGACTGGGGCGGACTTCTATTCTATACCTGTCTCCTTCTGTTACTATTATATAACCTCCTCGAAGCAAGGAAGGGAAGGAGGAGGAGAAGCACGGATAATTAGGGAAGTGGAGTAATTGTGAAGACTAGCGTAGAAGTTACTAACCTTTTTTTATGGAAGCCGAGACCCCTCCGTGATGTGGCCTTAGACTGGTTAATCGCGATGGACCAGTATTTCGAACTAAAAGAGATTTCGGACCCGGAACGGGTACATTTCATTACCACGAAGTTGAAGAAAACAAAAAGGCAAGTTTATGGTGAGCACATGTACGACAAAAGAGGGAGCTGGAGGAGAAGCGCTACGAAGAACAAGAAGTTCTGAAGTTTAAGGGTTAATTTCTACCAAGTGATGTCGAAGCGAAATTCATAAATAAGTTTAGGAATCCAAAACAAGGTTTTTCAAAAATTTCTATGAGAAAGTACGTGAAGTAGTTTAACCTATTGTCTCTACGATGTAGAGTGAAGGAGGAAGACAAAAGAAAATATTCGAGCTGACTTTTTGAATTGCATTTGTTTTTTTTTTTGAACAGCATAGAAGGAGTATACTGTATTGCTTTGAGGGTCGAAGGACCTACTGCTTGAGCCAAAAACAAGAAAGCGAATGAAAGAAGCGAAGGTAAGAGTCAAAATACGCCGTGGAGAAGAGCTTACTTATGAGCAAAAGGGGAGGACGAAGTCGCAGGAGATTAGGTAGAGGAGATAGAGCTGGTAAAGATGACCAGCAGAAGCCTCAACAGAGGAAGAATTCCGCACGAGATAACAAGGGACATTAAGGAGGACGTGGTAGAGGTGATAACCGTCACGTGTGCCAAGGAGATGGCGATTGACATTGAATTCCCTCTTCTGGTTTTAATATGAATTGACTCTGCTTTGGTCTCTAGCTCCGTAGGTCCCTAAGCAACTTCTCTCATCACTAGTCACTATGGCCGAAGGTTAGCAAGCCTGCTCCCAGGTCAGCAGCAAGGTCAGCTCCATCTCCTCTTTCCTTTGTCTTTGTCTACTGTTCATCCTTGACCTTCTTTCCGAACTCATTAACAACGGAACACCCGCCATGAAGGTCACTCAAAGTAACTTACTCGAGCTTCGCCCTTTGTATTGTACCGCCTGGAAAAGAGGTTCGCTAGCCTTTTTCTTTCCCTGCACCTAAAAGTTGCCTTAGTTCCCTTTTTTAAAAAAAGACTTAAGCTTGAAGTCAAGGCTTCTATGCTTCTCGATCTTTCTTGACGAAGAGAATGGCATACTTAGGTCTCAGGATGAGATTCTGAAAGAGTAACCGCAATATCAGAAGAAATTCTTCCTTGATTCCTTTGACCCGAGACTGCTACTTGTATTTCCTTTACTACTCTTTCTCTCTCCTCAGTTGCTTCTTGAGCCAACAAAGTTTTAGCTTGTCTTTCCTTGCTACTTTCAATCAATCAGAAAAGGAGGATTGAGCAGTGGCTTGGAAAATTATACACTTCAAACCTATCTAAGAGAGGTTAATAAGAATTACATTTGTATGCTACTAATCATAAGTTTTAACAACTAAAATAAAATGATTAACTCAATGTTGCCAGAATTACAAATGAAACAATTTCAAGGTTGAAATTTCATAATTTGAACTCCTAATATCACTTTTTCAACTGATTTCATAAGCTCTCGTATAAGTTGCATAACCAATCAGTCCAAACACTAATTAAAATAATGAAATAGGGTTTCCAACATAAATGGATTCAAATGCATTTCAAACACCAAACAAATAAGCAAAGAAGCAACAAATAAAGTCTTCAGGAATCCATGAATTTAACACAGGTTCATTAAATCGAACAACTCCAATATTCAGCCATAAAAAGAAAAATCAAATAAAGTTATACAATGGACTTAGAGCGTACCTAGCTGCCAAGAATTAAAAGAAAGCCAGAAAATAAATCTACGAACAGCAGGGGTATCAACAACTCAATTAACTTCAAACAGATGAAGAAATAGCTCAACCCAGAAAAATAGCTGAAGATTAACACCAAAATCAACAGCTGAAAACTTCTACTGCTTTTTTGCTTGAAATTACAAAAAAAAAAACTTTTACTTTTCTACTGAAATCTTGTTCTTTTTCGTGTGAGTTCTAGAGAGAGGAATGTATATGAATTCTGCAGAGATCAAAAGGTGTCCACAAAATGAGAATGTGAATGAGTTTTTATGCAGAAAAATCAGGGAATATGTGAGAGAATCTGTCAGCTGAAATTTAGGGGATAACGTATCTTTTTTAACTGAAAAATGGACAGCTGTCCTTCAGCCTATTTTTCAATTTTTCCAGCCCCTTTTGCTTCTAGAATTAACCATTTTTGACCTCTGATTTACTACATTCTAACCCCTTCCAAACTCTTCTAGAACTTTCCATCAACTAAAAGAAAGATTTTCTAATTTTCTATCTCATTTACCCCCCTAAAGTTTTAATTAATACCAACTAGTGCCTTTACCTCAACCTACTGTCCTCTTTTATCCCACAGAACCAACATTTACTAAACAACTAATTAATCTAAACTGAAATTAAGCTATCAGGTACAAATTAATCACAATCAGCAAACTAGCTGACCTATCAATTAAGCACATGCGTAATTAAAATCATAACCTAATTAATCGATTAAACTTTAAGTAGAACTAAATCAAATAATTATTCAAAAAGCTAAAATATTTTCAATTAACCTAAGCATGCTATCAAACTAATAATTATCAAACTAATAATTATAATTAAGTAGAACTAAATCAAATAATTATTCAAAAAGCTAAAATATTTTCAATTAACCTAAGCATGCTATCAAACTAATAATTATCAAACTAAGACATAGAATTAGCAACTCTAAGAAGTAGAGGATTACCATGTGAAACATTGTTGACTGGAGAGAAAAGAATTTTGGACGATAGCTGGCATCGCCACACAAGCACTGGCTTACGCTTGAGGGTATAACTAATGTTGTATGCGACGATGTTAGCCATAATTCGGTCAATAACAAAGGCCTCTCAATAGTTCTGGCCGGTCAATGGTGAATTGACCGGCAACCAGCGATCTTGAAACGAGACAAAACTAACGCCAACCTGTAACACTCAACAAGAGAAGTCGATTGGTGTCGGTTTTAAGCCCAAACAAACCGGGATTTGAGAAAAAATCGAAAAAGGGTGGATTTAGATTTTAAGATTTCCCTAGATTTAAAGATTAAGAGATTCTGGAGGGTTTTGAACGAAATAACAGATAGATATGGGATGAGAAGGGGGTGGGAATTATGGGGTAAAGATTTTGGGGGTGATTGGGCCTTAGCCGCCGGTGAGGGATTTTGGGCGGTTAGGGTTTGATGAGAAGTGGGGAGATGAGAGAAATGGGAAGGGTTCTTTAGG